GAAAGAAATTGAAAAATTCAACATTTCGACCAAATTTACCGTTCCCATTGCCACGTCCCCCCTTAGGAGCATTTTTGCTGATGCTGTCAGCTTGAAGGAGATGCTAATGAGAAAGTGTAGTTTGTCCAAGATAGGTGCCAGTGCTGTGACAGCATCTGACGGCTGTGTGATAAATGCCTGACAGTCACAATATAACAGTCACAATCACTGAACTTGCCCAGTCCATCCGCTGCAGTGGCCGCAGCACAGATTGCTGCACAGAGCTGCACGGACCTGGGCCTGCGTTCCCCTGCCCTAGCTGCTTCTTGTTTTTGCCACAACGACGAGCAAAATGAGAAAAAACAAGAGAAAAACAAAGCAAACATTACATAGTTGGCAGGCCTGCTTGCAGAGGAGCACATGCAGGAACGCAGTTGTGAGGCAATAACCGTCTTAAAGGAGTGTGGACATACAATTTCCAAGGAACGATTTATTTATCCCGGGCACTACACAGCACCCTAAGCGCAATAATGATGATAATAACATGATGTTCACGGCTGTGACCCAAACAATTTAGTTTAGTGCAATTTCTATTGCAGAGCTTGCCATTATTAACGCCAAGCCAGGCAAATCACTTTTCAGTGATGTAAATCGAAAGTAACCTATGCCATTGAGATCACGTGAAGCACAAAAGCCTCGCAGGCAACAAGCTTCTCATCCGTTGTCTTCTCAAAATTACACGTGAGCTCACACTTGCGTGCCACGGCCACATTATGGTCAGCAGATGTGCACTAGAGGTAGTGAGCAGAACTGCCATTAACTTCGCACTGCTTTGCAATTGAAGGTGACGTTTCCAGGACGGTTATTGTGACAAGTTCTAGAAACTTCACCACTTTTTCATCTCTTGCCTTTGAAATCGAAACAGATGAATTTTCAGTAGGGGGCGCATAAAAAAATCACATTTTCGAATATTTTTCAGATAGTGGTTGCTAATTTGATTCGATTCACAGTGAAATTTCACTACTCCGACCATTTGAGCTCCCTAGGAACCACGAAATCGTTCGAAAACTTGAGAAGTCCAATAAAACAGATTCATGCATTTTCATTCCGTTCAAGCAGTCAAATCGCTACAGCTACATCTAAAATAGCTTCAATGCCTCCCAGTACACTTATTAGGCATTTCGGTGCGCACCCGAGCTCTTGTAAATACATTCAGGACCTGCTGCAAAATGTCCTGAACTATACAAATTTGTGTGTCGCGATGAGCGCCACTGATAGCAGCAAAGCGCAGAATTGATAATAACAATCTCACATGAAATGTTCGGAAACGACTGTGGCAGGAGAGCGGACAACTCATCTGGCTTTTGCCGGTACGTGCGCACACGTTAATGAACCCCGAATTTCCACGGACACGCCACATTTCCTGCTACGTAAAACCTAGTGTTGTTTCGCATATTGTAGACTAAGCTGGCCCTGCCACTGTATGCCTGGGCGTTTGCTGTGCCATATACACGAATGTCATGAAAGTGTTCGTGATGCCCACTCTGTTTGTATCCGCACATGGGCGCGGTAATGCCGAGCTGCTTATGTTCGTGAAGGCAGCGTATCTGTGTGGCCCACTTAGCCGTCTCGCACGAAGAGACAGCATGAACAAAGGCACAGCACGTTTGTGCCCCACCCATACCACTAGCCATCATGGGCCACATGCACTACAGAACTGTTCACTGAGGATGCTTATTAGAAAGATAGTCGGCGATTAAGTCGTACTGGTGCATTTGCTGGCTGCTGTTACCATGCTTCTGCGCATTTTTGGCGCTTATTCGTAAGGACGTTGCCACACTGCGCTGTTACGATGGCACCTTCTTTTCTTTTTTTTTAATTTATATCCATCACCGCATCACACTGGCATGCAGCAAAGCTGCCTTTCAGGTTTTTTTAGGCCACAAAAAGATTGACTCGTCAAAACGCTGGTCTGAACCTGCAAAGCAGAGGTGGCGGCTTCAATTAATGCCGTTTCAGATTAGAAACTCAGATGAAATTGGATGAAGATTTTCAGCATTTGAAATTTCAGATGTTTTTACAATACACTGACGTCTAGGGATAAAGGAAAGAAGCATATACATTCAAAGGTGGCCGATGACTTGTCGTCTCGGGGGCAGACCAGAAATGCTAGACTTATACCCCTGTCACACGGCACTTGGTAATGTCAATCGCTACGAATGACATTAGGCTTTAACATCATTTTTACAGCTGCTATACGGGCATAGTGAATGACATTCCCATTTAATGACATTCACTCATTGAGTGTGTTCACTGAACTCATGGAAGTGCGACATGTGTTTCTTCGTCAACAGGCACTTGACAAGATATTACAAAATCGACATTTTAAAGTAAGTGCAAACGATGTACAGATGTTTATTAAAGGTGGTTGTTAATATTTCAGTAACATTTTGATGTACAACACCATAGTAGAAGCAATTTGTGCAGCTATATTATTTTTTCCAGGCTCCGACTTTACACTATAGCGTCTCCTGTCAGCCATGTTTTTACACGCCTGCTGTTGTTTTCGTGCAGCATCGCTGCTATCACCGCGTTGGACTCCCTTGTACAGAATACACACGCACATGTTGAACACCAGTTTAAGAAGAATGTTTTCAAACCAATTTTCCTTTCTTGAATAGCACCACAGTTCTCCGTTATTCGCTGACAAAGTCGTAGCCCAATGAGCAACTGATGTAAACGAATTGGCGCATAGGCGCAGCTCCAAATTCCTCGTCATCTGTGATCTTGAACATCAATCTCGAGACTCTTTAGTCGATTCTGATGCTTCATTCACAGCAGCAGGAGAGCAATTATCATTAATTTGCATAGATCATAATCTATCATGGTCACAAATTCATGAACGCTCTCACGATTCTAAATATTGCCGAAACCAAGTTGCGAGTGGCTTCAAGCTAGTCTTGCTTTGATATGAGGATTTCTTTTCTACCAATGCTGTTTTCTTATGTCGCAGTATATTTTCATCCAGCCGGACAATGTTATGTAAATTAAATGCGTGATGTGTACCTTCTTGGTATTATAGCAGCCTGCCGATAAACATTGACCTCAATTGCGATTGTAATTTCACGTAGCCGTGCAGACCCGGAATGCAAAACTGCAATGGCATTTGTTTTGAAAGTCATTCACTGCAAATGACATTAGACGTGCCGTGTAACAGGCGCATTAAAGGAAGCGCGTGCCCTTGTTCATCACATGAGTTGAACCTCTACAGAACTTGAAGGAGGAGAGGCTGAGGAAATACCGTCTTTTCCTTTCAAGTCTACAGTGACCTCGGCATCACATTGTGTGAGGGTGCTGACACCCCCTGTAATGTTGTTTGTGCCGCATGGCACACGTGTCTCGCGCAGAAGCCGTATTTCGGGGGTCACAACTAATAAGTGGTGGGTGGCGTTGTGTTCGCGAGCGTAGATCACCGTTATCATCATCATGGTTGTTAGAGCGCTAGCGCCTGTGGTGACCCCTGGCGGCAGGCAAGCCTTGGTGGCGGCAGGGAGAGTTGAGCGAGTTTCTTTTGGCGTGGGACGGTGGCGCGGGCGGTTGCCTGCAGCGGTGGGTCTGCCGTGGACGGCACCGCGGGCCGTCTGTGGTGGGCCCATGAGTCAGGCGTTAGCGACACTGCCTTGTTTGTCATGTTGTTGAGTGTTGTTCAATATTGTGTAAGGATGTCTTAACGTGTTGATCATGATTGATGTTATAATGATTCGGCTGATGATATCGTGGTTTCTAAAAGCAGTTAAATAAAAGTGTGTTGTCGTTTGGTTTGTTCTGACCCTGTCTGCTGTGTCCATTCACTCCAAGAGCGCAGTGGTGGTGGTTGCCAATTTGAGACCCCACAATTGGTAGCCCCAAGTCATGTAAATCAATACAGTTAAACCTCTGGATTGCCTAGTTCTAGATAAGACAGCTAGAAAACACCACCCTCTAGTGCTTCATCAACCTAGCCAAAGGAAACACTTTCATGATGTAATTTCATAAAATATGTTTAGGAATCATCTGCAACTATTTGTATGTAATTCACTTTTAAGTGTATTAAAAAAGATATTCTAGAAATATTAGACCAGTATTTGATTCGAATCACCCCCGAACTTTATAATTATTCAATTTCATTTCACACACAAAATTTTACTATTCACATTGCTCTACTTTTTAGACATCTGCTGTCAGTTGTAACTTGGGACAGCATCCAGTGAACGCATGGAATGCCTATGCATTGCAAGGCATTACATCTAGCTTTGAAATTCGGTGTCCACACTCCTTCAGGTTTCAGACAAATTCGCTTCGTCTGACTGGTCCTTGGTAAAAGCGAAATGTATGAAAACTAAATAAACATGTAAACCAATAGGTTAGCAGTAAACAAACAAACAAACTAGCAAACAAATAAAATATCACCATAACATTTTCTTTTGCTTGGTTTACAACTGAAGTGCTGAATCCTAAATATATACCATGTAGCCATGCAAACTCAAAAGAAAAAAGTGGCAAAGGGTTAAGGAAATGGAATCGTCGGCTCATTATTAGTGGCAGCCACTACTTTCCTGTCCCTCTTAAAGTTATGCAAAGGTTTCCTTAGCGTCATGGCTAGACACAATGCTTTGACATAATGGGAGACTGGTTAACAACTAGGCAGAGTTCTACAACCTGTGTAGCCTTAGCATGTTTCCTCCATGACGCTTTCTTTTTATAATATGCCTATTATCTAGCTGCTTTACTGCCAAAGTGGCACAGCCATGTTGGGCTTTTGTGCAATTTTCAATTGTGCCTCCTAAGGCGATTCCAAAACAAAGTTGCCTCGAATAAAGCTACTAACAAGTTTTCTTTTTCTTTTCCGTGTTCCCCGTTAATGCCTCCCCTAGACACGAGGCGGCTGCACTTCACAGTGGGGCCGAGTTTTTTCCCTTTTACTTAGCTCATGCAAAGTTTGCATAGCCTCCACATACACAGATCCGGGTCAGTCCACTGACCTCCAGCAGGTCCTCCGAGTCCTGCCCCGTGCTGCTGACAAGAGCCACCTCCCCTCGCTCTGTGACAAAAACGTTCCCATACAGCGACACTGCTCCAGCAGGATGCACCTCGAGCAGTGCGCTGGGTCCTGCGGAAGACGAGGAGTCTAGCACTCCTTCCTCGTCCCCAGCGTCTAAAGGCTCGGCCTCCAAGTGCTCGGGACTCGCAACCATGGCGGCCATCGAGCCGCTTGCGACCGAAGAGGGGCTAGCGTGTTGCAGAGTGCTGCTTCCGCCACCAAACTTGTGCTGCTGTGGCTGCTGCTGTGTCGCCAAAAGGGCCTTTGTGGCAGCCAGCGAGAAGTTGAGACCGTGAACCGACGACGAAGCTGCGGAAGAACCGGCAGAGGGCACCCCCGTCGAGGTGGATGCCCCTGAGGAGCAGGAGCTCTGAAGAATTGAGGGAAGGAGTTCCCTGGAAGAAATTCGGGTCTGTTTTAATTTTTCCACATCACGATTCTGTGCACTTATACTGAGTCTAGGCAAGATTTGGAACATGATGATTTTGCTTACAGGGCAATAAACAGTGTCGCACAACAAGGGGTGTGCGAATATTCAAAATTTCCAATATTTCTCAAATAGTGTTCACTAATTCATTTGATTTACACACTGTATTTTCACTATGCGAATTGTTCGAACTTCCCTAAGACAAATGCAGTCAACATTGGATAAACAGTGACCCCTTCAAAGCTTTGATTTGCTTCAACTCATCACATTCTCGTATTGCGGCAAAAGTGTCCTTTCAGGCTCTGCTACAGTCGAACTTGGGCAACTTTTTCAAAGAAATACAACTAACGTCCGATTAAAAGGAGCCCCTTGAAATTTTTTCAAATGCTTCGCCTCATCACACTCATCCTGCGGCAAAGCTGCCTTTCACGCTCTGCCAAAATCAGAAATGTAATGATTCGAGAGAATGCTGGTTCTAACGAAGATTATAGATATGGCAGATATGGAGGCTCAGTCAATACTGTTTTGAACCTTGAATTTGGGCAGGAAATCCGAAAATAGGTTGCCAAAAATTTTTAGCATCCAAAACTTCATATGTTCTTATATATTGACATCTATAAGACAGATTTGGAACTCCTGATTTGAAGAAAGAACATCCTTGTTCAACACATCAGTTGGGCTTCCACAGAAGTTGAAAGAGGAGGAGAGGCTGAGGAAATAGCATCTTTGATTTTCACATGTAAGGTGTTGTCAGCACCACTTTGGTTGCACCAAATCAAGAGCATACGTCATACTTTCGAAAATTCAAACACTGATAATCAATACTTACATTTAGTTCAAACAAAATTCAATTTTTTGATTGGCCCTTATTCATTTGATGTATTTAAAAACCTCTTAGTTCAAACTCCATCATACGATAAATCATACTTTTTGAAATTCCATACCTAAAAATGTCTGCTGCTTTCTCACTACAATTTAAAAATTAGCATGCTTGTATAATCTTAACAGCCTAGAAATGAAAAATAAGCTCCTAAGGCATTCAAGGAAAAAGACTTTGCTAGTAAACAAATGTTTGAAATGAAGCACACACATGGTAAACCATGATGCTCCTCAACTGGTATAGAGAGGTTTGTGCTGAAGGCACATATACCAAAGAAGCAGTTTGCAATTCATGATTTCTTTAAAAGGTCTGATGAGCAGTAAATGGCTGATAAACTCGTGGACCTTACACCTCTGCTTTCTGTTCATTGCGTGCCGTTAGGGTTTAAAAATGCTTAAAAAATTTATAAATCTGATAAGGTAACTGCCTAATCATAATGTGTGGTGTCACCTCACCCACAGTCATATATATTAGAACTTCTGATAACTTCTTGATAAATCAAACAAAGTTCAGAGATCCCTTCGAGTTTGAACTAATGAGAGTCAACTAAATACAATTTGGCCTCTGTATTGCATCATTCTTGATAAAACAACTATGAAACACTACCCTGCCAGTGCTTCATCAACCTAGCGCAACGAAGCAATTTCATGTTGCTATCTCATAAGAATATGCTTAGAAATCCTCTCTAACCTTTTTTCTGCAACTTTGCTTCGAAGTATTAGAAGAATATTGTAGAAATATTCAAGCAATATCCCAATTCGCTTCACACACAAAATTTTGCTATTCGCACAGCTTTACTCAAAATATCTAATTTCATGGCATACATCAGTATATAAAGATCTGCAAGACAAAACAGAAAAGGAAGAAGGCACTGTGTTGATGTGCCTAACAATGACATCACTGGAAGTGATGGCTCATTTATGAGTGAGATAACACTTTTTTCTACTCTACTGATACGTACAGTACTCACACATTGAAACGAAAAAATTTAGGGCTAAGTACTGTATCTTTTCACATATAAGCCACATCAAAAGCACAAAAATTCCAGTGACAAAGTGGGGGTGCGTATAAGACGTGGGGTTTTCCATATAATTCTGCTTCACGGCAATGAGTGTTGTGCCGTGAAGCCCCTTAAAGAGACACTGAAGAGGTTTTGAATTCGCTAATTTATTGCGAATTCGGTATCTGTGACCTCTTACAACATGTCTACGGAGGATTTTTCGCAAGGTTCGTACAAAACAACGGCGCTATAAGCGAGCAAACTTTGACCAAGAGAGCACCCCCACAGCACGGACGCGCGCAGGGGCGGAGCACCGGAGAGATAGACACGTGGGGAGGTGAAGTGACCATCAAGGTCAAGCCGCCGCCCGGCGAGCAACTTTGTGCCTGGCCCCCTGCGTCGCTCAGTCATCTCAGCCTGTTTACTTTGCAGCTGTGCCTTGTTTCTACTGTGATCTGCTGCCTGACGAAGCATCAGTTCTGCCAGTTCATAGGAATTTGGCTGCAATGCTTTATGAAGCAGCAAAGGCTGTCAGACTGTAATATGTCAACAGTTGCCGGCTTCTTACAAGGAGAAGCTGCTCAAGTATCAGAGATATTTAAATCGCTAGAGAAAGCAGCATGATTACTTTTTCTCAAAAACCGGCAATGGGGAGGAAACTTTTGACATTTATTTTGAAATGCCACTGCACAGAACGATTGAGAAGACAGGCAGCAGTTTGGTGAGCGTGTTGACAGAAGGGACAACAAAACTGAAGGCTTTTGCGAATATTCGAATTGTATGAATATTCTATCGAGTAGTATATTATTGCAATTCTCTTTTGTTCGAATTTAAATAATTCAAAATTTCGAAGTATTTGCAGTAAACGAATAAATGTCTATTAATCCGCATGTAACTTTCTATAAAGAAGGCTTCGCTGCACTATAGGAATGCTAAGCCATGAAAGTACCTATCCAAAAAAAATCCACTCTGCCTCAAAGTCCCACTTCAAATTTACAAAGGCCCTGCAAAACTTTATGAGCATGGTCAAAAACGCTGCCGATCGGTAGTCGAGGCTCCAGAGAACACAGCCAAATGTTATAGTGCAGCACATGGCCTGCAATTCACAATTCTCAATGTCAGCTGAAAATTGCTCTCCTTTCTCAGCAAATTCAGCCAGAAGCTCAAAAATCACTCGTCACAGCCATTGTATCAGCCATTGACTGATTTAGCACGCTTGGTTGATAGTGCGCTCGGTTGTTACTGGGATCACCTTCGGAGGCCAAGACTTCTCTACGCATACTTGCGCGATTGCAGTGAAAAGCTGCGTATTCGAAGAAAAAAAATTGACCCTGTATCTGCATGTTAATCTGCAAATATCGTCGAAAGACGATAGTCTTGCATCTGGAGAGAGTGAACAAAATGTTTATTTGATGTTCTGCGCAAGAAAATCGTTAAATGGTATTCTGGAGGCGCTGCATTAGAGTGCCTCGAGCGTGCAGCGGAGGCGAACGAGCGCATCAAGCCACGTCACACATGAGACATGAGCGCTATCTGGCAGTTATCTTGGAAAACGAAACGCGCGCGCCCTGAGGGCCCGTCTCGAAGGTGATAAGGTGTAGAACGCAAGGCGACGAGTAGGTGCCACCACCGTGTCGTCTTAGCAAAGCATTGGAAACACTTGCCTTTTCGTGCAAGCGTTGCCTGGTCAGCGCAACATGATAAACGCTACGGTCCTTAGAATTACTTATGTATGCCTTTTCTAGTAAGAGACACACATACAGAATATTGACGTGTTGTTATGGTGCCTCAGATATGCGCAATAATTGCTCTTTAATTGACAATCGCACAAGTATGAATGCTGAATCTTGAGCAATATTGGTGGGCGCTGCGGATGGCATCGGCCATTTGGAGTATCGCTTGGCCATTTTGATGCCGTTTAGAGTACCGTTAAGGACAGACAAACAGACAAGTGTATAGACAGACAGACCGAAATAGCACACGAGAACGTGTGGGTGAATAGTTACTTGTTCCGGACTGAGTCAAGATGATACGAGAGAAGAGACCCGATATGATGCTCGCAATGAGGTCTATGCTTGTTCTTGACTCGTTCCGCAGCCACACAACTGAGGAAGTGAAGGAATGCCTTTCACGCAACAGCACTGACTTAGTTGTTATACCGAGAGGAACGACGTGAATATTGCGGACCCTAGATGTGTCGCTTAATGAGCCATTCAAAGCGCATGTCAAGCTCAATTACGCTGAGTGGATGGCAGAAGGCCTTCACAACTTGGACACCGACAATATGCATTCGAAGGCCAGATATTGCACTATTTTGCGAGTGGATTGTCAAGGCGTGAAGGGCCATTCAAGATGATATGGTGCCAAAATGTTTAAAAAAATGCTGCACCACAAATAACATTGATGCAACCGAAGATGACCTCGTGCATAACAATGGGGACTGCTGCTCAAGTGATAGCTCTAGCGAGAGCAGTGAGAATGAGTGAATTGGCACTGGCCTTGCAGACAGCGTATTTTGCTTGCTAAATAAAGCTTTTTCTGTCTAGATATGGGCTACGCTGCTTGAGCAGTAGCTTTTTTATAGCCTTTCCTGTATATCAAACGTGCAAACAATACACCAGGATTTTTTTTTTTCTCGGCGTTCTAAAAGTGGGGTGCAGATTATATTCAGGAGTGGGTTATACGTGCAAAAATATGGTAATGCACATGCTTTCATTTCCCCTGTCCACAGTGTGTGTCATAGTCATGTAATTTTAACTCAAATTCTTACATCAGAGACCTCCGTGGCCAGACTTGCAGCGATATGACTGCACATCATAAGCAATTGCTCATGGTGTCCTACAAAAAAAGAAAATGATGCCGCGTTTCAATCCACGAGCGCTGCCCAGCACACCCATGTGTTGACATAGCTGCTGCCTGCCAGCAACTAACACTGAGCAGTGGCATGAAAAGTTTCACTGATGGCTGATGTGTAGGAAAATTAATGTGCGTGCTTTCCTAGGACATGACCTTTCGTATAATGAAGGCACCTTAGCTAAGTAACTCCACTCATAGTTTTCTGTTAGTGTGCCCTTGTACCTACGACAAAGAAGGTGGGCGCTGATTGCAACAGAGATTGGAGGACGAAATATGAATAAAGCTCATGCTCAGCTGTTTAGATGCGTCCATTTATGCATGGCCTAATTGTGCTGCTTACAGTAGAGGGGAAAGGCAATTTTCTGGTTGTCTGGTGTAAACACCGAATAGTGGTCGAAGAAGTGATAACAAACTTTGGAGTTGGAGGATATGTACAAAGGCACTGCAGGATAAGGAAGGCAATGAGGAGAGAGTGAGAAATAAAGAAAGATGAAATAACAAATGACAAGGAATGCTTGTCGTGCAAGCAAACACTGAAGAGCCCAAGCAGCGCGAACTCACTTGGATGCCAAGTCCGCGACCAGGTATTGTGCCTGCTCTAGGAGGTACCGCTGCGAGAGATGAGTGGCCAGGCCTATGGCACCTCGACTGCCCGACGAGGTCGACGGCCCAAGCGAGGACAGTGCAGAAGACGAGGTGCTGCTTGAGCACAATGCGAGGCTGGCCTTGTCCAACAGCATGGGCAGGCCCAAGGTAGCTGCACTCTCGGGGCCAACCTGCAAGAGCAGGTGCGGCTGAGCTTAACACTACAGAGAAAAATGATTTTTCTCATACTAGTAAACCACTATTTCACAATATGAAAATTGTCCCGCTTGCCATGAGAAGACGTTTGGTAATCAAGAAAACGAGCAAAAATAAAATGTGGGTAGCAACGCCCCCTTAATATTCCCACACCAATCATTGTGATGACATTGATTTTGACAGCATCTAACGAGGGTATATGTAGTTCCCAACTGGTAAAAATGAAGTGCATTGGCTCCTAAGGGGGCCAGGGATTGAGACACAATGTACCAGAAAATGTCGTTTGGCCAACGTTGCCAAAATACAAAAAATACTCTTGATGACATTCATAAGCAAAGGTTTCAATGAGAAATTTAAAAATTAAGCTTATACCTTGATTTTCTCCTCTACTGATGACCATGTTATGGTGAAATTAACGTATTGATTGATTGATATGTGGGGTTTAACGTTCCAAAACCACCATATGATTATGAGAGACGCCGTAGTGGAGGGCTTCGGAAATTTCGACCACCTGGGGTTCTTTAACGTGCACCCAAATCTGAGCACACGGGCCTACAACATTTCCGCCTCCATCGGAAATGCAGCCGCCGCAGCCGGGATTCGAACCCGCGACCTGCGGGTCAGCAGCCAAGTACCTTAGCCACTAAACCACTGCGGCGGGGCTGAAATTAACATATCAGAGTACAATTTATCCCCCTAAAATGATTAATTGTTTCACTTTACGTGTTCTTTTAACACGGCGCCAGACAAAACTAAGCAACCCTGCAATTAATGGCAACCATCGTGATCAAACTAAAACATGTACCCTTTGTTTTTATTGTTAGTACTCTGATAAACAAGTTCAGAAGAAGCCCAGAATGTGAATGAAGGTTAGCAAAAGGGAAAACATCATCTCCCACCCATTTGTAGTAAGAACCAACAAAGAAAATTACCAGATTTGCTTAGCAGCTTTTTGCTATAAATGATTGGACAGTTCCTCTCTAGTAACACACTGAATGTGCCTAAACCTAACCTCAAGAAGCTGTTTGGGCAACTGGAAGACCATTAATGTACACTTTACTATTTTAAGCGATCATGCAGGTATAGTCTATAAACTGGTCAGTCGAGCGGTAATATGTTATTCAGCTTTGGCTAAACTCTCAAAACTGGGCACTGCAGCATAAAAGGGAAAAATTTAACCCAGCAAGTCTTTCTCGCGAGCGAACAGCCTTTAACTTAGGCTCAACATCCTGAAAGTAGCAAACACTCACTGTCAGCTGAGATTCCAGCCTCAAGGCTCCGACAGACTCCTCGGCCGAGCCTGGCAGCACCAGCAGGGCGGGGCTTTGGGGTGGGGCCGGGGAAGACGACGAAGGCCGTGCCAGGTGGTGGGCGTGGTGCGAGTGGAGCGACACGGGAATGTCCACCACCGAGTCACGAGAGGTGCTTGGGGCCACCGATCGGTGCTGCAAGGAGTCAAGACGTACTACTAGTATCAATGTTTCCAATGAAACAGCTTCTGCAAAGCGGCCGTCTTCTTGGGCAATGTGTCACGGCCACTGGCAAAGCTGAAACACTTTAAAGGGCCAGCAACAAACTTCCGAAGAAGCTTGCTTATTTGTTCAGATGGCCACAGCAATTGCATTTTGCCAATATCACAGAAGTGCGTGGCACACAGGCAGCGCATTTTCAATGATGCCCCGTCCTGTAGAGTGCAGATACATCAGCCACAGTCAAGTCAGCAATCTGCTTGCCCCATGCCTTCCATGAAATGGCACAAACAGGCTACAGAAAAAGCATTGCTCATGCATACACAAGTCCTGCCAAGGCAGACATCATCTTCACTTTCCCCTTCAAGATGACGTGATGAAATTGTGAAGGCAGTGCTTACCAGGTCCAACACTTGAGACATCGCCACCATTTCATCCGCCGCCCTCTGTTCGATCTCTTCTTCGTAGTGCTGAGCTTGTTGATGCGAGTCCGACACAGAAACAGGCGATTCCCTGAAGGTAGCCACTGCGAGCCGGGACATACCTCCAAACGGGACCTAGGGTGGAGTGAAGTAAAAAATGCCGCTGTATATTCAAAAGCACATATGGCCGAATCAGTGTCTTTACACTCCTGTCATCTGCACAATTTAGAGAATCATTGAACCTAGCACTAATAACAGAATACTTCAAGAACATTTCAGAAATACCTGTAACAACTATAGATGTAAGCATGTAAATTTTGCACTATTTAATCTTAAACAGGTTATTAGTGACATCATTTGGTGTGGCTCTGCACTTCATACAAGAGCCATCACAAAAATAAATGTGAAACTATAAAGGAAAAAGAGTTCTCAAAAATACATGAAACTTATTAGATACATATTACACTACACACCATGTCTTTCTGACTATTATCAACACCTTTGAGTACTTACTTTATCGAAGAATAACCCATGCAACCTGCTGTTACAACTTTTAATATCTACAGACTATTCAAAAGTATTTGCCAATTACAGTAGAGTTAAGCCTTTTAAACAACTAAACAGTATCTGGGAGCATGAAAATACCAGAAATTGGCAAAACTAGAGAACAAAATACAGCTCTCAGACTACTTATAACGTAACTGCATACGGTCAAGGACCGTCTATATTGTGCTTTTTTCTGACTCTCATTTACTCTTCCATAGAACTCCGTGTATACACATAACGCTTATTGTGCAGTCCCCTCAGATGAAAGGCCAGTTTTAATGTAGATGCTGGTGAAATTCTAAAAGAAGCGAAGTAGCGAGAGCACTTCTCAGCGAAGGTGTGCCCAATGTGCCCGCCGGGGAGGGAGCAACTATGGCAAGCGGAGATGATGTGGAACAAACCAACGAAGAACAAAGCGAGAGAAAAATAAAAAAATGAAGTGAGGGTGGAGGGGCGGAAGGGGAATACCTCAGCTGTAGCTACATGGTTAGAGTGTCCACTTCTAATGCGGGAAGTGCCGGGTTCGATTCTCGGTGCCGACCGGAAACCCACCACTTTTTCCCAATGGGCAGAGAAGTGCACCAAAGTAACGCTTCGTAGCCCCATAAGGTTCTGCCAAGGCCCCTGGGCGTACCTTAACCCCCCACAGCCTCGGTAAAATAGTCAAGCATCCGCCGCTGCAGTGGAAGGCAGAGGATTGCTGCCGTCAGGTACCTACTGGTTAAATAGGTATGAACGCACTTCCAGCCTGGTGCTCGGCAAAACAATGTTATAGTGGCTTGGGAGGGCACACGATTCGTGGTAAAGTGGCGGCATGGGACTGCCAGACCTGAAATTAGGGTCATCCACATTTTTTTTTCCCTCCTGAATGCAAACCGAAACGTTCTTTCTCGCATGCTGCCTTTGATTTATCTCTTGAGTGTGGTATCTTGTACGCCCGATATCAGTGCTGTCTTGGGCAAACTTCCCGCAACGGCACGCCGAGTTGCAACTGAGACGTTTGGCCTAACAACCGGTAGATGCCTCGTTGATGGTGGCCACAGACTATCAAAGTTGCGGTTTGGTGCTGAGTTAACAAAATTTTCCTTGTTGCATTTTCAGAGTGTCATACATCTGCAACAGAAATGAGGGCAAGCGTGTGCAACACTCGAGTAGTGGTTCGTGGCTGCCACTGTTTTTGAGACTGCACACACATCCGGAAAATTGAAAGTGCGCATTCAACATATAGTTTCTGTGCAGTGTGGTACTGCAACAAAGTCTATATGAATGAAGAAGTCCAAAAAGTTAGTAGGCCACCTACCACTATGGCGCACTTTTCTTTCTTGTGTTGAGTTTAAGTGGCATAGCAGGTGTCCGGGCGTCAATTTCAAATCTAAACAGACCAACAACTGGCAAAAATATGTGACGAGATCTTGATAAAAATGATAAGACCATGAAATAAATATAGTAACAAATTCAAACACCCTTTTTGTGTTGCGATTAATACCTATATTTTGAATCATGTGTAAAAGTAACCAATACCTAGGCTTGAGCGAATATTCAAATGAATGTTACAATATTCAAAATCGCTACAATTGGAGTTAAAATTATTGAAAATTTTGAAGTATTCAAAAATAATTTGATTGATAGATAGGGTTTAATGTCCCAAAACCACCATATGATTAAAGTATTCAAAAGTAACAAATGCATGTATATTGGTCTGCACATGACCCCTGTAAAGGTAGTGTCACTGCACTGAAGGAGTGCTAAGCCGTGAAAACACTTGAGTGTATAGCAATTCGCATGTAACACCCCCTAAAAGTGGTTTCACTGCAGCAAAGAAGTGTTAAGCCACGAAAACACCTATCCAGGGGCACAACACACAGCTGCTATGTTCCACTTCAACGTTAAATGAACACATTACCCACACATCTGTTCATAATATTTTACATAAGTTCAAGAGCTCGTTATAGCAGCTTGTACGCTCTTAGTAAATTATTAAACATAATTTATTTTGCACGACATCACTTGCATTTTACCAAAAGTGAAGTTCTGCTACTATTGAAAGTTGTTTCCACTTCTTTTGAACTAAAAAAATAGCATTTGAGCAGATTAGTCAGGTTATGATAAATATGACCATTTTTCTTTGTAATATGCCATGTATACCATTTGAATTCAATCTGAAGTTATTCGACCAAAATCACTATTCACCTCAAACTCGCTTCGAACCTAAAATTAACTATTCACACAAGCCTACCAAAAAGCAATATGTCACGCAGCCTAACGAAGAAACCTTGAAGCTGGATTATGAAGCCGATCACAGTGCAGTAGTAGTCATGCAGTTTAACAAGCTGCCATGCGTGCCATAATTATAGTCCTGAAAATTAGATGACTTATTATTACCTTCTTTCGCTCTCCTGTTCTGCTTACGACGCAAAAGGAGTTGTGTGGTGACAGACGCAACGCTACCTTCGCGGCAGTCAGTGTCGGTGGAACATGTCGAGCAGAGCGCATACGGAGCATACAAAAAAAGCTCTCGCCCTCCCTGTTTGCAGCATATTACGTCACGTGTGTATAAGATTTAATATTCGCCACAGATCGGGAAATTCTGATTACAAATGATAAATAATGTTTACCTCGTTACCATGCTGTGATTAGGCACTCTGACCAGTAAGCTTTCAGTTATGCTAAAGAAAATAGCTACCATAAAAATTAAGCACTCTTTAAGCAGATGCAAGCTTACATGCAAAGTCCCAGTCGTAAGCCTGGTTGGCCAGATTCACACACGACTGGCTGTTAGTCGTGTTTTACATGCATGCAGCCTTTGAAAAATGTTGTTTGGTTATAGTACGGTACCATTTATAGAGTAGATTTTCGTGACTCCAGTAACTTAATGTTATAAGTGGTCTGTGCTGTAGTAGCTTCATTCACAAAGACATTTATATAGACGTTAGCAAAAAAATAATACACTGAAAAGCAAGCCTTTGACAACTTTTTTGGATTTTTTTTTTAAAAAGCATTGTTTAGAAAGGTTATGTACACTTGGGAATAACGACAACAGTTGGTATGCTCACCAAAAATGGTCGTGTTTATTATTATTAAACTTACACAGCAAGACGGCCGTCATCTTGGCTATGACTGTAATAGTACGTTATGCGAGCGACAACACACCTAAAAGAGATCACAACTCTAGTTTAGCACCAAAACCAAAAAAAAATTTAACTCATCGGTGACAACGCATCATGTGACCAAAGATCACAAACAACCAAGGTCCAGAATAATCAGCAACTTGGAAGAGTAGTTACCTGTATGAAAGTTTCCATGCAGTTTGATGGCTGCTGCTGACTGTACGGCTCTTCGTGGTAAACAACCAGGGCCGACTCCCTGTCGGTAGCAACAAATTCCTGCCGCTCATAATGATGCTGTGGTTGGTGTAGAGACACAGGAACACCATTTGCGTAGTCCACCTAATATAGGGCAAGAACATACAGACATTCCACAGACATGCATCATAATAAATATTGACGTCACCTTTGAGCAATATTTCACCAACAACGCAATATATATAACAATGTCTTTTTTTTTTCAGCAATGTATACATCAGTTGCCACAGCAGACACAAAATATTGTTTGCTTAATTGTCAATCAACATTTATTGAATTTAGTGAACATGAATGCACATGTTGGTAGTAGGAAAGTGAAGCTGGCAGTGCACTGCGCAGCTCAAAGTACTTTTGGAGAAGTTCCACAGCTTGTGGATCACGTTTAAAAATGCTTGCGCCCTGGATGTAACAAAAAATAAATTGGTGTGCCAGACAGCCTTGGTTCTGTGGCATTCTTTCTGGCGATAACAGGTAAAACGATAAGTGAACAGTTTTGTATTTGGCTACAAGCTCATTGACATCAATCTTTGCACAGACGCTGTTCACAGTCTATGGTGCTGTGAAGTCCGGAGTAAAGGTTATGGTACGACAAGAGACATGAACTGGTCTCAGTGCCAAAAAACGCAGCCTGGTTCATAAAGCAACTTATTTAAGAAGGGGAATGTGTGAACAGCATGGCAGTATTCCGTTGTGCTATTTTTGATTTCTTCTGGTACAAAAATGCACAAGTTATAAAGTTATACAGAACTCAAAAGAAAAATAAAATACTATGTGTCTACGGTATTGAATTTACGATTGCATAGTTAGTCTCAGAGATATCTGGCAGAAATGTCTGAAAAGTAAACTAAAAAAATATACAAGGTGTCCTGCCTGAAAAATATTTAAACCTAATGTCCTTGTTTCTCTAAACAGTCGATCCTGGATATATCAAACCCAAAAAATATTGAATTAATGTCCATAAAAAACTGCTGGGAAATCCCCTTGATTTCACCATGCGAAACTATAGAACTACTGTGCAAGAAAACATTTGATGTAGGTATTGAACGCCCCACCGAAGCCTAGAAAGTGCATTTTCCCAACAAATATTGATCATTTTCTGGCTGCGATTTCCAATGTGTTTATCTGATTGGTAGCGCAGTGCTTGTGATTGCAGCGGCTGGTTTGTTTTAAGGCATAGCCATAGTGTTTTTCCAATTGCCAAAGGCACTAAAACGAGATGAATATGAAGTGATTCGGCGACATCGTCACAAATTTCGCACTCCCTTCTTTGTTTCTTAATGCATGATACAATGCGGCCCCTAAAAGCATGGCCTTCGACATCTGCAACCTCGCGGCGTAATCGTGGCATCGTTGGTTACCAAACACACGTCGTGGAGGCTACACTTTTACTTGCTCTTCAAGCTGAAGCATGGGTTGCCTTCTACAAAGCCATAAGTGCCATCGCCAAGATGTCGATGGTGGATATCTGTTCCTTAATTGTTTGCAGGCAGCATTGTTAGAGTGCACTCAATTTCAGTACACTCTCATGGTGTCTCTTGCGTTTTCAATTTTTCCGACTTCATTCCAAATAGATCCTCATTAGAGAGTCAAACTACTCATTGACCTGCTCTTAGCAACAAAAAGGATGACTGGGACTTGGAATGACATCATGCAAGGCACTGCCCTGAACTTTTTTTCTCGCAAGCTTGTTGTGTGAGGTGACGACTTTCGGTGCATCATGATTGCGGGCAATGGTGTATGGTGCCTCAGTGAATTTTCCGACTTATTAGCACTTTCGGGCGTCATCTCGGAGTACAGCGAGCGACTTCATTCGTGCAAATGGCCCAGAACTGTCTCTGATGCATCAATGTGAAAATGACGGCTAATGTTATTCATACCACAAAAGTGGACTTGAGTGGTGATGAACATGCCATTTCTGCCACTAAAGAACCTGTTCCCATGCTTCAAAGCTTTCATTAGCGTTCTGTATCCTTCACCACTGTTATGCCACAATGCTAGGTGCTGGAATCACTTATTTGAAAAGTTTAAGTGATATCGAGAATGCCTTGATGAACTTGTTGGTGCTCAAGAAGCAAGGCAAGCTTACGCACTATTTTCATGCAAAATAAAGTGTGCCAACTTGCAAAAGCAGTTGTCACTCTGATATTTCGCCTACAGTGAGTGAAGCATCATGTCAGCACCTGTTAAAATTTCCAAAAACTGTTTCGAGACCTGCAGTCATACGTCTTGAATGCACATATTTTGCATTTCAAATTATCAATCTATCAAACTACTTTGCAATCACTTTCTAGTTTGATATATCCAAGATCAACTGTACATAGCACACACATTTCTCTAACCAGCAGTGTAGGTGTAGATATAGTTTCAACTGCTTGGTTAAATCCTTCTATGTACTATTTAACAGTTCAGAATTGCATTTCAGTGATTAAAACATTGGCACTCCGCAAAGCACTATATGGCTAGATATCACACTGGAAACTTGACCATGCTAACGATATGTCACGTTGCAATAAAATTTGATGATTTACATAATGACTATACTTGGTGGGAAATAGATGGGTCTTTGCATATTTACGAAATCTTTCAATTAGCGTCACCAAAGATAGTGTCAGATAATACACCAGAGTAATTACTAGAGTTTCTTAGGTTTCAAGGGCTGTCCAACCTTCCCTAAACTTTTGTAAATTAATTATGGACTTCCTTGCTCGACAAGAAAGAATAACCGCACATGCACAGCTCAAAATGGACAGTTTCAGCTTTTTACTTCTATTTACCATCAAGCACCATATTTTTAAGCTTGCTGCAATCAAAGTAAAAAAATTAATAAAGGTCAAACGGGAAAAGTTGAGGGGATCCACGTGCGCCCATGCTTCCTTTCTTTTTACGGCAGCGCGGCCGTCTAGCTATAAGGACACGTCCACCCCTTTGCGATAGAGAAAGAATAGACCTCTTTCGAAAGGCCATTAGGAAGGCCGTTCACCCCACAGCCAGTACGCACTATTTCCCTTTCCCGGCTCGCAAAACGAGTTACCCTCCCTCAGCGAGGGAAGCAAGCAAACCAGGAGGGTGGAGAAAATGAGCGTGCCGACAGGCTCTCTCTCTCGCATTGAGAACCAGGAGGGTGGAGAAAATGAGCGTGCCGACAGGCTCTCTCTCTCGCATTGAGAACCCCACAGGGAGGACAAGCCCTGAATTTCCCTGCGAGCCAAGGCAATCGATGAGGAAAGGCGCAACTGTATACCCTTTTGCTATCTTCCTAGAGGAGACAATTTCTCTACGCAACATTTATGCGTTATTGCTAACGTAGCAATAAAGTGTTGTTTTGTTGGCCTAGCCTGTTGCCTTATTCGCCCGAATTCATCGTAGCTATGACGACTCCAGCTAGGGGGAGGTGACGTCAATCGTGCGCGGTACTACTGTGTGTGGCTGGAACATCAGCTAGGCTTCTGCACCAGCCGTGCATAGGGCAGACCCCCTTCAGAGTGCAATGAGTTCTTTTAACATCTAATACTGTAAAAGAATATTGTGGATAGACTGATTAGGTCTCAGATACCACAGAAACACAGGGTCAGCAAAGAATGCCATGGTGAGCGCCATGGGTCCCTTAGCATTTCAAGGTCAGGGCATTTCCTTCTCATTTCCAAGAATTTTCATTCGTGCATGTGTGGGGACACAGGTCCCACTTATGCTTTGGAACCCAAACAACAAAATGCAATGTCTAAAAATTGAGCACAGCCTTTCATTTCTATGAAAAGAAAGAAAGAACTCACAGCCATGCCAACATCGGCATATGCGTGGGGTGGCCATACGACTTCTGCGGGAGGAGGTCCCCTGGAGCTGGATGCAGTGCTGTCCGAGACCAGATCAGACGCCTTGGCACCCAGAGATGCCTCCCCCATATCTAACTACTGTGCCTGCAACAAAATTATCCCCCCCCCCAACCATCACTGGGCATTCTAAACATAACACAGGGAAGGAGCTACTCTCAAACTGTACAACTAATTAATAGTCATGCCCATTTGGCAAAGCCTATTCAGCTACTCCAGAAAGCGACAAGCCATGACGTCATCACGCCCTCTACTAATTCGATGCACTGAACTCACTTTGCACACTCCCAGTTCAAGAAGAAGGAAAGTGGCTGAAACGCCCAATACACATGACAAAGTTTTTTCTCTTTTTCCCAAAGAACACCCTTTACAGCCCATCCTGCTACTACATGTAGGTGTAAATTCAAATATCTTCGACAGACAATCTGTCTTGCTATTGTTAGTTTAGCATCACAGATGTCATCCCTCAGCTAATCAAATTAAATATATTCAGAAGGTTCGACAAAAGTTGAAGCACTTGAGGCAATCCCCAACAAAATCACTTGAAATAAAACCTCCTACAACTCACAGATCATTTATAAGGTATTCAATAGAATAAGGTGCTTGGATACATACTGCTTGCACAAAAAGCAAGATATTTAAATTTAGACTAGAAGACATGCAAAAGAAATCATTTAAGCTCTTAAGCAACAGTTACAATAGGTAGAAATTGCCCACACTTCTCTTACAAGAAGCAAATCTGGAAAAACAAGTTAGAGCCTCAACAATTTTTTTTTACTTTACCGTATCTAGAATAATCGGCTGGAAATGCACCTCAGTGCCATTACCTAATCCATCACATGATCCCATCATTTTTAACAAGTTCACTTAATACTGATTCCCTATTTTTGTTAGAACTGTAACAGGAGTGTCTCAGCAACTAAGGTTTAACAATTTTGTTTTATTAATTACATGCTCTCTATAGTAAATGTAGAGGTTTTACATCTCAAAACCACAATATGATTATGAGGGGCTTCAGTGAAGGGCTTCAGTAATTATGACCAGCTGGAGTTCTTCAAGGAGTTTTTACCTAGCGCGGCATTTTGTAAGCGTTCTAGCTTAGAGCGGGGGAGGGATTGAACTGAAGGACGAGAGGGGGCAAACAGCCAATAGACGAGCTGGGGGAATTCAGAAATGCTTTCAACGTATCAAGAAATGAAGAATTAAAACAGTTCAACAACACTATTGACCGGCATTATTTTCAAAAGCTTGAGATTGCAGAATGGAATAACTTCAGCAATTTATTTGTGTTAATGTCTTCAGTGGACGCTGGGTGGTGTTGCAATTTGGTGAGTCGTCCGGCAGTGATTTTCTGCGCGGGATTGGGGTAAGTCAGGTGCGAAACCGGCTACTTCGTTTTTCTGGGCTCAAGCGCTCACGTTTCGGTCTAATCCAAGTCGTCCGGAGACCGTTTTGTAACCATTCTGTCGAAAGAATGATGCCCGAGCCTGTTCCGACGCCTCTTCACCCGTTCTATGCAAACTTTGTGGCATTTCTCACGTCTTGACCGTCAGAATAGCATAGACCAATTTTGTGTGGCTCCCTCTCGTCATTTTGTTCAATGCATACCCCATTCCCACACCCCTAAACTAGACCGCTTACAAAATACCGCCCCTAGCTTCCATCAAAATGTGGCCTCCACAGCCAGGATTAAATCCCATGACTTTCAGTTCACCAGTCGAGCACCATTGTGGATGTGGGCAACAAATGACAAACAACATGCAGTTATGCTCTCTACCCTACAGTTATGACTTCCGTTTCCCGAAGGTTGATGGAGTGTGGGCATTTTATAGATACGCACAAGTTACTAATTTGTTGGTCCCTGTATTTTTAACCAATCTTTTGCCTAATGCCTGAAACTCAGATTACTAGTGTTGAAACAGATAAAATAAAGTGCAAGTCACTCATGTGCTCCATGTAATATTGGTGACACAAAGTAGAACTTTGATCTACAATATACTAATGACAGGGGTGGAAGAGGACTCAAGTGTTTTGGAGCAGCTCAAGGAGCAAAAATAATGCTGTTTTGGAACAGCTTTGGTCCAGTAAAAGGGGAGTTTCAGAGCAGCTTCCGAGTACCAAAGGGTTTCATTTGGAGCAATGAAAGTTAGTTTTGGAGCAAGTTTCTAGGGTCAAACATCATTGTCAATCAAATTTATTTTTGATAAATAAAAATTCCAATAGTTTTAACTAAACATTCAGTACTAATGAGCTGACCAGACTGACTACCTACAAATGCATGTGTGTGTGTATGTGTGTGTGTGCACGTGCGTGTGTGCATGTTCATTTCATTTCATTTCATTTATTTATACTGTTAGCCCAGAAGTGGGCCGTTACAGGGTGGAAGTACAAACAATTATTTGCAAAAAAGAAGTACCGTACAGGTCTCGAGATAATTTCTCGGTACTATTGTGACCAGCAACTCGAAGTTATACATAACATACATAAATGGAACACACATGCGATGCAATACATACGCGCAGAACAGCACATGACGCATTTGAGGCGGCACTTTTGCACCGCGCTGAAGATTTGAAAGACAACTACTGCAGGATCATGCAACCAACAAAAAGTACACACACACGCAAAAAAAACATATGTCACTGTTATTCGGAAAATAAACGTTTTAGATTCTGTTCAAATGATGTAAGCGAGGAACAACCAATTATAGACTCTGGCAGCATATTCCAATCTTCAATAGCACGTGGAAAGTAACTGAACTTAAAGCAATCGTTACGTGGGACTAGGGGTGGTATATACATATTATGGCGATGTCTGGAGTGTTCTTGTGTGTTGACCTGGAAGTAATCTGAATAGTTTAGTTTAAATTGATTATGAATTAACTGGAAGAGGAATTTCAGACGCTCAATCCTCGTCCTAAGTTCAGGACTATCCAGTCCAGCTTTTTTACAGAGTTCAGTAGGAGAATGATGTCGGCTATATTTATTAAAAATAAATCTCGCACCAAGTCGCTGTATTTTTGTTATTTTATTGCAGTTTGTCTTTGTGTAAGGGTCCCAGACAATTTTAGAATATTCGATAATGGGTCTGACAAGAGTTTTGTAAGCAAGACACTTTATATCAGATGGGGCGGTATAAAGGTTCCCATCATTTAACATCACAGCTGGCAGAAAAATAACTGAGAAAACAAGGAATAAGATTTTCTAATCCCTTGTTTTCATGACCACTAGATAAACATGGTGCACTTCAATTTTCGGAATCATGTTGATCCCAAGCTAATTAAACAAGCTACTCTGCTCATCTGTGCTCAGTCTAGAGTGAAGTATTAACGAGCAATCAACACGGCAAATCCGCGCACACGGTACAGCTAGCCGCCCAGCAGTGACTGCGTGGGGAGCATAGGTGCCGCGTTGCACTCAACTAACCAGGAGATGATGGAGTCCACGCAACCGCATCGTGTTTCAATGAAACTACCAGTTGTTACTTAGTACCACATCGCTGTGGAGATGCGCACATGTGTATCGCGGAAAGCGGATAGTGCCCGTTCTGTCAATATTTCGGTCTCTGCATATCGTGGACCCTGTAATAGTTTTGAAATACTCCTTGGCACTGCCACTGCACACTATAAAATGAGCGTGCGAGAGTTCTAGCTCAGTATATTTTCCGCACTTCGACAAAAAGGAAGAAAAGACTTTCGTGGTAGGTGCTTTGTACTTTGGGCAACATCTGCTATGGCACATTGTTGACTGGTGGCGATGGCACACCTCAGGGGGTGCAAACTTGTACTTGTAAACACGCACTGCCACTTAGTGCATGACCATGCCACGCTCCCAGATGGTACAAATTATCGAGGTTTCACTGCATTACTACATAATCCACATTTACTCAAGTTGATGTCACCACTTTTGCGGGGGGCCCTGCCGTGGTGGTCCAGAAGCAAAGGTACTCTGCTGCTGACCCGCAGGTCGCGGGATCAAATCCCGGCTGCGACAGCTGCATTTTAGATGGAGGCAAAAATGCTGTAGGCCTATGTGCTCAGATTTGGGTTCACGATAAAGAGCCCCAGGTGGTCGAAATTTCCGAAGCCCTCCACTACAGTGTTTCTCATAATCATATGGTGGTTTTTGGACATTAAACACCACATATCAATCTATCTACTTTTACAGGAAAACCATGGCGATAGCAGTGATGAGCACTAGCAAGCACCATGAATAAAACTAAATTACGTGAAGATCCTCGAACATGTGATTGAACTACACTAGATATTGATGTGGCCACTTGCTTTGTGTAGTCAACGCTCAGCGTTGCTCGGTAGATGATAATAATCCACTAGATTTGGCTTCCAATTTACAATTATCATGGAAATCACTGTTTATGCGCAGCTTGCCACAGCAAGTCCGATTGGCAAAGAATGGCCCAATTGGTGCAGCGCTTCCACCCCTGTTATTATGTTTAGTGCAAGAAGCGAAGACAAAAGAGAGACACAGACTGACAGAGAAATGGCACAGACTGGCACCAAGCCATTTCTGCGTCTTGCTACTATCTGCATTTCTTGCGCTTTGGATACTTAGTATATATCAAGAAATGCATCAACTAGTTAATAAGTGGACTTCTTCATGAAACTGGCTCCTACATGTCCAGTCAAACCTGGTTATAGTGAACCCGGATATAACGAAATATCGGTTATAACAAAGTAAATGAAGAAAAGTCCTGCAATAGATACAGCGCTAGAAATATACCTTTGTAACGAATTTTCAGATATAATGAACCTATCTTTGTGTAAGGTGCAACTTTGCTATGATGAGATTTGAGTGTACTTGCTCCATACTGCTTTAATCGCATCTCTTGACATTTTTTTTCTCACCAAGTCAATTTATGCTCACGTCTTTTACATTTTTCAAGCAAAGGCTGCAGCAACTGACTTGTGAAGCTGGCAACGTTAACTAGAACCCTCCTCGCCCACAGCAGGTGAACACCAACGAAAGCTTAGCTGAGGGTCATGAGAAGGCACAGAGATAGTACAGAAAGATAAAAAAAAATGTTTTTTGCCCAACACTGCAGCTGAAGCCATTGTGGCGAACCTCTCC